ATTTAGACTTCCTTCAATATAAGACCTTCATACTTTGTATAAATTACTTTCCAGATTATGTGATGTAAAATGAGTTTTCTCATCCCGGGTATCGCCCCCATTTAAATTATTAACGATTTAAAGTAAAAACCCCAAAATGTTCGGTTTGACTTTTTAAAGTTTCAAGATATCTGGGAAAACATGATTTAAAAGGACAGTTTTTTAAAAAGTAAGGGGAAATATTTTTTCACAAATTTTTTTTAAATCTGACAGGGAAATTCATTAGAAACAAAAAATTTCGGGAATAAAAAGGACAAAGGTTTTCAATTTGCATCACTCCGGTAATTTTTTATTCAGTATAATTTAATTCCTACAGACTCAGTTAAAATGTCTTTATATAATTGATATGTTTATTTTTTCTAACAAAATGGAAATGTTGTCGCGATGTTTTTTTGAATGAAGTTAAAATATAATTGTTTAAGACAACATTAGTATCACCTTATTTTCATATTGCAACGTATGATTTAAATTGCGGCGTCTATGCTATAGATATACTTACACAAAACATCTTAAATTATATTTTATTCTGGTATTCTAAATCGCAAATACCTTTGTCATGTTCATTCCTAATTTTACAATATTTGTTAAAAGGTCAATGACATCAGGGTCAAAGTCAATCTTGTCAATGTTTTTCTGTTTCTAAGGTATATGGCTGATATTTTCAGTTAGTTTGACATGATTTTCTATATTTCTTAAAATATACACTTCATTAATGAAGATATTTTATGCTTCAACAAAGACCCAAAACCCCAAAACTGGTTTATCCGCAAAGGAGAAAAAATTATTTAAATTTTAATATTTTCCATTTTTTAAATTTTACCCGGGAATTTAATTGGAAAAATACCCAATGGAATTTTTTTAAAAAAATTAAAATTGAATTCCCCCTTTTTTTAAAAAAAAACAGGAAAGGTAATTTTTATAACCCTTTATTTAAAAAAATTAAAAAGTGAAATTGGCCTTTAAGCACATTTGGGGATAATTTTAACTTTAAAAACAAAAAATTTTATTATTTAAAATAAAAATCAAATTACCCTTTATTTTCCCCCCTCGGGTTTTGAAATTTTCTTTAAAAAAAGGGTTTGAAATTTAAATTTCCCAGATTGTTCCCCCGAATTTAAAGGTTTTTAATTAAAAAGGGGTTAAAATTTTAAAAAATTGATTTATCCCTTAAAAAGGTTAAAAAAATAAAATTTTTCCCCAAACAAAACTTTTAAAAAAAATGGGGAACCCTTTTAAAAAATTTAGGAAAAAATTTTATTTGGGACATTGGGTTTGTAAGGGAAACATTTTTAAACAAGGTAAGTTTAAAAAAAAGCGGGGATTTCCCTAAAAATTTAAAGGAAAATTTTTTGTGTGGCCTAGGAAAAAAACAATTAATTAAAACTTTAAAAAAAATAAAAGGGGATTCCCCAAATAAAAAAAGTTGTGTTTAAAAAAAAAAGGGAAAAAATTTTTAAGGGGCAAAAAAATAAAATTCATTTCCCTTCAAAAATTCTTTTTAAAATACACCAAATTTTTTGAAGGGGGGTTAAAAGGGCCAAAACTTTTTTCTAAAATTAATTTTAAACAACCCCGTTTACCATTGGGGAGCTCTGATGCTGGTGAGGGTGATTTTAAGTTGTGTAAAAATAAGTCATTATACTTCTTTTTAATTAATTCCTATTAAGTAACATTTTTAAACCTATTCGCCCCTTGCAGTGATAAGTGCAAAAATGTTTTAGACACAAACTGTTAATAAATAACATATCAGAAATACCGCAGCAGAAATACCCATAATTTAAACCTTGATGCTAATTCTGTTTCTGCTGGAAAGGCATTTTTTATTATTGTAAAACAATGTAGTTTACCTCGACCAGCTGCCTCGTCGTCTAATCAATATATCTACCATTGCTACCTAATAAAGATATAAAGAGACATTTTGACTCGTATAGGAGACAATGTAGGCAAATCAAGGCAAGGACAAACGGCTATTTTCCATGTTTGTTTTACAATTTAAATGTTAGATATTGGATAAACCGTCCCTGACAATTGGCCCCAAATGTCAAATTAACTTACGTTTTTAGTTCGTATGATTATAGTGTTGAAATATTGCATTTAACGAGGGGAAAAAAACAAGGTTGATCATCCGGCATTCAAACAGAATAGACTTGCACATTAAACTGATGATGTCTGGACAAATACCTACGGGTATGCTTAATAATGAGAATGAGGAAAAGTACTTCAGGCAGTCACATTTTGCTTAGTCTATTATCTTAGTCCTAGACATTCCATGATATTTTGTTGACAGTAATTTAAAATGAACAGGATGAGTAACATGCAAAGTTTCTGACAAAGTTTGACCAAAACAACAACAAAACATACAACATTTAATCAGAAAAAAAAAGAATATCTCTTTCTTACTTTCATTCATTAGCTCGATTGGCTCAATAGGGAGCGTGTTTGAGAAGTAATCTAGGGATCACTGGTTCGATCCTCTAGCAGGATGAAATTTCTCCTTAAAAAAAACAACAACAAAGTATATGTATAATCGGCTTAAAAATTAGAAAAACGAACGAAAAGTCTTACATATCATATTTTAAGAAACAGAAAACAGAAAGGTTTACTACATGTGTAGCATCAATGTAATTTGAATGTTTATAACTATCCATGATTGTTGAAATCCAGTCCATATCTAGATCTAGTTAGTTTTATTAGTCATATCAAACCAGAGCACCAAAAACGTTTTGGTTATGAAAAGTGTTTTTTTTCCCATCATTTAGTGGGTTTTTCACATTAATGAAGAAAATAGTTTGCTTCCTTTTCCAAGTGTTCAGGTCAAAGCAGCCGCTATAATTTTAATAAAAACAATATTTTTCTCTTTTTAGGGGTTTTGAAAAAAATCAAAAAGAAAAATCAAAGTGTTTTCCCGCCAGTTCACGTCTATATCCCCTTTAAAGGTAGGGATATAACGTGTCACGTGGCCAGATATAAGAGGGGACCCATTCGCCCCGGGTTTTGAAGACACCCAGTAGTAAAAAAGTGCACGAAATGATACGAAGCGTAAAATAGCCCATTTTTTGGGTCCCTTTATTTTTTAAAAATTTTAAAAAGTCCAATTTAAAAAAATACTGAAACAAAAAAAAAAGGAACCCAAAGATAACGGGTTTTATGATCCCCTTGATGGAAAACCATTTATTTTTTGGGTTGTCAAAATTTTCCCGTAAATTTTAAAAATTAAATAAAAATCAAATCTCATTTTGTTTCTAACTCACGGGCTTTACCTAAAGGGCATCTTTTCTATTTCGGTGGGGATATGAATTTTAAAATGTTTTAAGGGGCGCCGTCTAAAACAAACCCAAAAACCCAAAAAAAAGTTTTTCACAAAAAAAAATTTTTTAAGCCCCGGGTTTATATAACAAAAAATTTTTTAAAAAATTTGTAAAACATAGTCAAATTTTCTTATATTTATTCTATCATTCAAAAACCCTTTAAACCCAAAAAAAGAGAACATGTTTTTAATTTCTATTTTAGTGTTTTTCCGGGGCCGGTTTTGATCCTTTGAAAAAGGGGCGCCCTGGTTTAAAAATCAAACTTGGTTAGAATTAAGGAATTTTTTTAAACTTTTTTTTAATTTAACGTTTTTAAGTCCCGTTTTAAGGGACCCCTTATGATTTTGGGTGGGTTTTTTCCCTTGTTTGGGTTTAAGGAATTCTTTCTTTAAAAACATTTTAAAAAAATTCTTTGAAATTTTAAAAAAAAAAAAAAAAACCCAGAAAAATTAGGGAAAATATTTTTGGTTTCGTGGAGTCTTGGGAAGCTATTCAGGTCGATGATTCTATTCAGATGCATGAAATAATGCACATGGGTGCCTTCGTAGTGTCAATGTGGCCATGCAATCATTATCTGACGTCATCATTTTGACTCGTATATTATTTCTCGTTAATCAATGAATATGTAAATTATTAGCTGTAAATCAATTGTGTTTCTTTGTCTTAAGTGAAAACAATTTCTTCCTTTGAAGTTGTTTTTGTATTTCTTTTCATTCTTGTGACAGATTTGAAAATAATTGAAATCTTACATCTTGATTAGCTTAAGTCATCTTTAAGATATATAAGAAATTAAAACAAATAAATGCCATCTTTATATCATAGTGGTTTTTCTCATTTATTGGAATTGTATTCAAATATATCAACGACGCTGCACAGCGCTGCATGTAAAATGTAGCAGACGACAAAATATAAAATCATTTCTTAGCATATTTATCTACTTTTTGCGATTCAAATTCTTTAAAGAAGTTCTGTAAATACTAAAACTTTGTTTTTAATTATGGTTGAATAGGTCTTTGAAATTCTCCGGGAAAGATGTAACTACTTTGAATTAATAAATTCAATGTAGCTATGATGCATTGTACCGGAAGGCGAGAAATCTCGTAAAATATGGTTAAAACTTAGGCAGTCATTAAATTTAAAGAATGGATAAATGGACTAGCAAAATGCTGTAAAGACCAATAATTAGCTATTTTTGTCTTCTAATCTCTCTTTGTTTATGTTGTAAATGACACGTAAATGTGCGGAATTTAGAGCTTTTATTGTCTAAACCTGTCGACTTTTTATTTGAGGTTTGAATCCTTTTTTTGTCTAATATACGAGTGTATTATTTGTTGACTTAGCAAAACATGTCAATATTAGAATTTCAGGATTCCCGAAGAAAACTTGAAAACCTTTGAAAAAAATAGACCACCATTTCTTAAAATTTGTCATCACAATATTTCTGGGTTGTGAATATCATGTGACAGATTGGAAAATTGTAAATACTTTCATCTTTTATGGAAGCCAACTTGGTGTCGTATGTTTATTTGTTCGTTTAAGTGCCCCACCCAAAATATTTCCTCATATAGTTTAATCAATGCATATATTTATAATTGGACAAGGTGTTGTATCTATTTCTTTTCATTAGCACAAGATCTTCCGCCATCGGAAAAGATGGATCCAGATGGTGGTTTTAGTGATCCATACATCAAAGTAAGCATAGAACCAATTGTCGACGAAAGAACGCGCCAGTCGTCTGTGAAGCGCAAGACGGCCAACCCGTTTTATAATGAGTATTTCAAATTTCCTGCAACATATGACGTCATCAAAGAATCTTCACTGGTATTTCTTGCATATGATTATGACAAGTTTTCCCGCCATAAATTGATAGGTGAAGTTCGGATAGATCTGTCGAAGGTGGAGACAAGCAACAGTGTGGAGATGTGGTGTGATATACAGAAACAAAACACAGGTAAATGATGACGTTTAGTACACAAGAAGTTTTGAAAAAAAGTGTTGCAATATTTATTTAAAAAACAATTATACTGCATAATCGGAAAACCAAAATTTATACAAAGTTAATACTGTAAACCCTTACGTCAATATACACTTTAATATAAATAACAATTTACATTTATAGGTCTTAAATATACTTATTCTATAAATATATTTTGATGTATTTATATTCTGTAAAAATGAAACCACATTTTTGTCCTTAAAGAGTAGTAGAAAACTCGTTAGCAAATCATCAGCAATACCACCTTACTCTGTATGTATTCTAAGACTAATAAGGATGTGATATAAATATATAAATCTAATTGGAAAAGAAATTAGAAAAATTTTTGATATTACTAGTTTTATAACGGTAATAACTTTCAGCTGTACCCGTCGAGAAACTTCACCTCCTTCCGGTTTAATCTATAAACGTGTTGAATTATGGCTAATAACGTAATGGATTTCTTCCATATTGGGCAATAAATATTTGCCGTTGTTAATGCCCATATCCGTTCCATAATAAAGCATTTCTACCCATAAAAAGAACGAAATATTCCAGAAACTATTATAGACGGACAGAAATATTATTGTCATAACATAACTGTAGTTAACGCCGTTAAAGAACGCTGAAAAGTCGAATGAAGACAGGAGTCCCAGAATTGCCCTTTTTGATAATTATAAAGCACATTTCATTTTGTCATCGAAAACTTGATGTTTATTTTAGTGTCATTTTATGTCGTGTTCTATATATATGAAACTTACTGTGAAACTGATAATTACTGCCACCATAATTTAACTAGTCTATCAATGTTGATTCATATGGTCAATCCTACAATTATGTCATATAGAATGTTAAAAAAATTGAAACCTTGAAAACGCACAAAACGTCAAAATTGAAAATGTTGGTTTGACTGAGTCTGTTATTTGGCGGAAGTTGTGTAATCGATTGTCAGCGCCCCCCTGGCACCGGCAAAAGCAGAATTTAACATGAACATTGTTATTCAAAACGTATTTCGAAATCCGAAGATGTGTTCACATGGTGGTAATTCAATCTTCTATGTTATATTAAATATATTTTTAAAAATGTTGCTTTTTTGTTTCATACAGCAAGAAAGTGCTGAACTTGGAGAAATCCTTCTATCATTGAGTTACTTGCCGACGGCTGAGAGATTAACAGTGGTTGTGATGAAAGCCAAAGACTTAAGAGTACCAGTTACAACGCCATCTTCAGGTGAAATATTTGTTTCAATTTATTTGCGTCTTGAGACATTTTTCATATCATAGACAAGTTTTTTTCAAGATGATAAAAATGTTCGCAATTTATTGTATTTGTATATGACGTTACTCATTAGTTAACAATTCAATTTGATTAGCTACATGTGCTATCTAAATGGAGTTACCATATTAAAAATGTCATAGAATATTAAACATGGATTTGAGCTGATGTGTCTTTTTACCATTCTGCTTCAATGTAAGTAAAGATTGAAATGGCTATGAATACATTTGCCAATGTCATTTATCGCAAGGGAATAGTCAAAAGATTTTAGTAAAATACTGTATTCAATATTTTGTATATATTCGTAATCATAAGAAATTGCTTGTTTGCACATATAGTTATTTACAATTTCTTTTTCGTTAATGCTACATTTTCAGAGCTTTGTATGTTATAGATTATTATCAACTGTTTTCTTACAGATCCTTACGTAAGGATAACACTAATAGTGGATGGAAAGAAAGTTAAACGGAAGAAAACAAGCGTTATGAAAGGTACACATAATCCAGTCTGGAATGAAGCCCTTTCCTTTAATATACCTGCTGAACTGTTGCCAAAGGTCATGTTAGAATGTCACGTGGTTGACAACGACCTTATAGGTCATGGAGAATTTGTCGGCTGCTGCGTAATTGGGTCAAGGAGGACAGGAAATGAGGGCAAACATTGGAATGATATGATACAAAACCAACGTAAATCTATGGCCATGTGGCATGCTCTGCATAAATAAGACAACGTCACGATGAACCTTATATGTACATGTATATAGTGCCTAGTAGGGTGGTCTTATTTTGTGTCGTCTGGACACTCTTAAATTCCAGGCTGAATGTGTTTAATTTATATTTGTGTTCTCAACATAAATATTAATTACAAAGCGATATATATATATCAAAGTGCTAAGAATTAGCATTGTCGAAAGATCTGTGTACCCAGACGACATAATATTTCTTAAACGTATAAAAAAAGCTTTAATGTAAAATCATTCTTGTTTCTATTTTTAAGACTAAATCTACTTTACATACTATAGGGTAAATATGTTACTATACTTTTGATAAAACAAGATTCATTCTTGATACCTTGTAAAAAATAACATATTACTTTCAACCAGGTTGATTTCTCACCAAAGATTATGTGTTCATGCATCATAGTAAGGTTGATTCCTAAGTCAAATAATTTTAAATTACCACAACAAATATATACAAGTAAAATTTACTTAAAAATAAACAAAAAGGGGTATGTTTCTGCATTTAAAACAAGTGTTTAAGACTTGATGCCCATTTATAATTACATGTATATACTTAATTGATATTATATAAACTGGTAACCCTCATTTCATCTTCGCCTTACAATCATGTTTTATAAACCATACATTTGATAACTTTAAACATGTTACATATATACATTTTTCTTATTATTTATTATTTTCGAATAAGGGAAGAATTTTCACTTGACATATTATATAGAACTATGAATCATTGAAATAATTCTTTTTGAAAATTTTCAAAAAAATGCTGGTACAAGCATAAGAACATTAAGTTGTTATTAAAATATCGGTGGATAAACAATCTGTATAGTACACGGACATTGTGAGACCTAAGAATTAGCTTAAGATAGCACAATAGATGGAAACACTCTACAAAAAAGATGTACTTGTCAAAATTTCAATTAGTATGTTTTCTGTGTTTGTCTATTTCTTGGATGAATTTAAAAGCCACCGATTAGTTTTTTTGTAAGAATCTTTTTCCTACAATTTGTTTATTATTCAAGGTGCAACTTCAGTTATAAGATACACGTAATTGTTCTTGATACTACATGTAAACTTTTAAAATCAGGTTAAGAACAATATTTTCACCTGATATTCTCTACTTATTATTTGTATTTTATATTTTTCACATGCACATTTTGTATAATAATATCACTTATTTTTGGAACTCACTTAAAGTTAATTTTAGTAGTTAAAAATGAGAAAAAACCCTATGACTCTGAATAGCCATTTTATATTTAACTTGTTGTTTAATCATATAAAATTTAATATAAATGATACACCAATATGTTTAATTTCATGTTTTAGAGCCATCACATCAAAATGTACCATTCTTTTATTCCATAGTATAGCTTTGTGAAGAAACCATTCTCGTATTGCAATATGTTTTGAATAAAATATCATGAAAATGATAAAGAATTATGAATAAAATATAAAAGAAATAAAATATTTAATATAATATAGAAGATATTCTGCGTTAATTATTTTACAGTATTTCTCAGAATATATCTAAAAAACGGTGAAATTTACGTCTTGATTTGTGATCTTACATGTAAAATATTCATGTAAAAAGTTGATAATTTTGTTGAATGATTTTTTTGTGTTCATATTGTAATGATATTTAAATGAGCATGACAAAAATATGTTTGACAATGTCATAACCAGATATCTTTTCACATTGAATTTTTTTAATCTCTTAACAACATTATTTTGTGACACAAATACAATATATATATTCAAATATGAAATATAATTCTGACATGACTAATGTTATATTTATCATAAATGTATTATTGTATATCACAGAAAATTCTTATGGTATATTTTTGTGTGAATAAAGAAATAAAATATATATATTTCTCGATTTTATTTGCAATTAACTGATTTCAATCTCTCTATCAAATGAAATTTTGTTCAAATTGTTTTGATTTTCAAATGTTAGGAAGTGTTTCATCACAAATGATATTGACAAAGATATTCATAAATGCAGAATAGAGGCACGTGTTGAGGCATGTATATCATATGATTGTATACCGGAGTCAATATCGAAACAATACATACGAGGTATAGTAAAAAAGTTCCCAGACTGGTCTGTTTAAAAAGATTATTGACGTCCGATTGTCATGATATTTACCATGAAGGTATTTTTAACTAATTTGAGTAGCAACATGTATGAAAAAAATCAATTTAGTAAATATTTGGAAATTATTTTTCACATGAAACACGCCCGCAACCCGTGTACGGAGCATTTCAGAATTAATTTGATTTTTCTAGAAGTGAATAATACTCTTTCATGAATGTCTCAAAATACTGGCGCCAGAACGTCGTGAGTTTTGTACGTGACGTCAGCTGAACGTTACTAGTAAACAGCTGCAAAAATTCAGCGTGATCGGATGACGTATCGCCATTTTGTGCACGATTATTCAAGCCACGTGAAAATTCCTATACGAAAAAATGTCAACCTCAGAAAAACGTACGGAGCAGCGGGCAGTAATAAAATTCTGTTCGATGTCTGGAATGACTCCGACTGATATCTGGAAGTTTTTGAATCAGAAGGAGGGTGTTCATAATTGTTCTAGGACACTTGTGTTTGACTGGCACAAGCGTTTTAGGGAAGGTCAGACGGAAATTACCGATAGTGCACGAAACGAAGCAGAAGACCGGGTAACGATCAGCGCTCAATCCAAGATGTGAAGGACGTCATCGCCAAAGAACGGAGAAAGTCGATTGATGATATCGCAGACACCGTCGGGCTTTGTCATGGAACTGTACATAAGATAGTGACGAAGGATTTAAACATGAATAAGGTATGCGCCCGTTGGGTACTTACAGATGAAAACAAAGCAACCCGTGTAGACGCTTCCCGAGAATTTTTACGACGATATGATAGAGACGGCGAAAGATTCCTAAGGCGCATTATCACTACGGATGAGACGTGGGTGAACTTTTTCGACCCGGAGAGTAAACGAGAGTCGATGGTGTGGAAGCGACCTTCATCACCTCCCCCTAAGAAGGCGAAAACCTGCAAGTCGGCGAAGAAAGTTATGAAAATTTTCTTCATGGATAGCCAGGGTATGCTGTTGCAACATGCGGTACCAAGATCGGCGACAGTCAACAAAGAGTACAATCAAAAGGTAAGCATTAATAATGTCGCATGAAATGTTTTTACTAAATTTCTATGTTTATTTATATGTAAGGTGAAAAGTATATAAAATATAACAAAAAGTGAAAGAAACTATTATTTTTATAATTTGCCGCATTTGTGGTAGTTTCAAATAAAATGAATTTGTTATTAACAGGTTGTGCGGAGGGATCTAACGAACGCTATCTGGAAAAAGCGAGCAGGGTGCGACATCGAAAATTTAATTTTTCATCTAGATAACGCTCTAGCACACCGCGCAGACGAGACACTCCTTACTATTGACTTCTTAGGATATGAGCGGCTACGTCACCCCACTTATAGCCCCGACTGAAAGCAGATTTGAGGGGTCGGAGGTTTGATACAGAAGATGAGATCAACTATGCTGTGAGGTCCGCAATAAGAAGTTACACTCCAGAGTGGTATGAAGACATTTACCGGAAGTGGGTACAGCGGCACAGGAAGTGTATTGAACACAATGGGGACTATTTTGAAAAAGCATGAACGTGACGGTAAGTTGTTTCTGGAATATGAACGTCACCTGAACGTCGTTAGCGTCGACGTCGCCGAAGTGCTCCGTACGTGACATAGTGTGTAACTTTAACGGGGTGTTAAATATGTGTAACATTTATGAAAATCATTTATAAAAAATTTTAATGTGATATATGTCATTATAAAAACATACACAAAATAACAAAGTTATCGTAAGAGTCCGGGAACTTTTTGACTATACCTCGTATATGAGTAATTGAGTAATCTTTGCAAAAGTACCTGCAATATATGTGCGCATATGTGTTTCAATGGCTTTTATTGCTCAGTATCATTACATTTTGTATCATAAACTGTGGTAACAGGTTCACCCAAGGTCTTTAGAAATTTACTTTCAAATTTCTTTTTGTAATAAATTAAGTTACAATAATGTTATGTTTCTGTTTGCTTTATATATACTAAGGAAGACAAGAAATTATTGATGTAATATTGGGAATAAGCCATCATTAGTTTTCTAATTTTAATTTTATTCTGCCAGTATAAATCAATGTCAAGAAATGTTGATCACAACATTAGATAGATTTTACCAATGCCAGAATATGAACATGTACCGGTATAAGCTGTTTTGCTTTTTTAACTTCAAAATGGAACACTCTACACAGGTATGGTGAATGTAAGTCCTACTCTGGATACGACCATCTGTCCTCATATTACACCAGTTATGGTAAGTGCAAAGCAGCGGTCTCAAAACTGATGTATAAAATTAACACAAATCTGAATAGCAATAAAATGCTACAATGCTCAAGCTTAATTATAAGAACCCAACTAAGGTCGAAAAAGTTGGAAAACATAAAACAATTTAATTCCTCTGCGCAAAAAATGGAAAATGTTTTCAAAAGAAGATAGAGAGTATACTAAGAATTGAATAAAAAAAATCATGCAATTCTAAAACTGATTTGGTTAAAAGTATTTTTTTTTTCATTTTTAGCGAATTTTTACCAAAAAAAAATAACATTCTCCAAAACTTAGGGAGATATCATGCATCTTGATTTTGTTAATACCTAAGAATTCATTTCGATTTTTAGAAACCGCATAAAAATATGTTATGTCGTGAACCGAAGGTCAGAAAGTCATTCATAAATAACGACGAATAAATAAATTAAGAATAAAATCCACATATTTTATGTCATCTCATTAACTCTGTCTGTGCCGTAAAGTAACTGAAAATCTGCAAATTATGCAACTTGCTGTCCTGTCCTATCAGAATAACGCATTCACGTATTACATTTTTATGTAAAATAATGAGAACCTATCACTCTTGAAGACCTTCATTCATTCAAGTTAAAGAATACTTTCTCTTCCAACGTGTCAGATTGCTTCTATTTAAAGCTATCCTTAAGTGTTTTTGCCTTGTCAAACAATAAATAAAATTTTTGCCAGCAAGAAGAAACAACAACACAATTTGATAATAATTTAGGTGAAAAGGCTTGCTCTTCGTGTTGCATTCCTAAAATAAATAACTCTATATAGGTTATTATTAAATATTGATAATATGAATTTCTATTCTCATATCGGTTATAATTT